TCTTCGTTCTACTAGCTAGAACATTGCAAAGTTACTGTTTCCCACCCCATGTCGATCTCTCCAACAAAACAGATAAACATTAGCGCTAGCAAAACTATGGAATTCATCAAAATTTTAAGCTTTATTTGCCAATGAAAATGGAACAAAATAACAAATTTATAGGAAGCCCATATTGCCCAAACGTGGACTAGATCAAGAATACTTTCGAGGTTTTTCACAAACTTTTTTAGAGCGCAGAAGCATTTTTAACTGATTCGAATTAGCAGCGCGGCACGATGCCATCGTTTTGGAGAAGGTTCTCGAGGCTGAGTTCAGTTCTAGGGATGATCACATTTGAGAAAGGAGACAATGGAAGCATAAAAAATTACTTGTATCTCCTCCAAAAGCTATGAGGAAGTAGAAGTCACGCAAAAAGTATCTATTAGATTGTGATGGAAAATCCTGGGCTGGGCACTTGCAGAGATTTTTTTCAACGGACTCAGTTTTAATTGATTTTTAATTTATTAATCAATTTAAGTAATTTAATTTTATCTGATTTAAGTTCAGTTCAAATCAACTTCAAAATAATTTAATTTTGCTGATTAATATTAATTTTCAATTTTTTTCTAGTTCTAACGAAAAATATTAGGTTGGCTAGAAAGTTCTTGCGTAATTCAAACAAAATTCAATAACTTTTCAATGACTAAACCTAAATTCACAATCTTGTTCTCTAAAAATATTAGAAGGCCTGCGCTCCATGATGGATGTTTAAAGGCAGTGTCTCACCAAAGTTGAGGTCGCGCGGATCTTCACATATTCTATTATAGGGACCTCTAAATAGGCCAATGCAACAAGTTCCACTCAATTTGACCCCCTCCACGCTGAGAAAAATTCGCTCAAAGTGGTACGCGGAGAGCCAGTTGGTACGCGCGGACGACTCCATCGGTCTTTCCCCTTACGCGTTTGAACATGTCCCTCCACTTGGCATCCACCTCCCCTCTGTTGCTGCCACTGTGGCTGAGCCTGAAGTTGGAAGGTACAACTCGTCCACGTTGCTTCCGCGGGGCCTCCAGAAAACGGGGTTTTTGGGAACTTTGTGCGATTCTAAGCCCGTACAGTGCTAGACAGGGTCCGAAAGGCTTGCAAAATGCAAAAATCTCAGCGACACTGCCTTTAAGCGCAAGATTTCATGAGCTAGCCCCCGAGAACGAAGCTCTCAAATATGGGACTTCAAAATTTGCAATTTTGAGTTTGGTGCCAGAAAATCGCAGAGTGCCGCTAGCTAGCCGAAAAAATCTGTAAAAATTACTTACACTGTAGAAGTCCATAAGTTACTCTGGAAGGCTTTGATCTTGCACGGTGAAGCAAAAACAAAAAATTCGTGAACTAGTCATTTTGCGGGAAAAATCCACTCATTACCGCAGTTTTTCGGCAAAAACAATTTTTTACACTCCAAAAAACGTCGCAAGGTTCTAAATGGGCAATATGTCTTATTTCTGGTTGCAAACTGTGTTTTTGTGGAAAAATTACATCGATAAGGGGATTTATCCTGTAAAATGACAATTTCCACAAAATTTTTGTTTTTGCTTCACCGTGCAAGATCAAAGCCTTCCAAAGTAACTTATGGACTTCTGCAGTGTAAGTGATTTCAGATTTTTTTCGGCTAGCTAGCGGCACTCTGCGATTTTCTGGTACCAAGCTCAAAATTGCAAATTTTGAAGCGCCATATTCGAGAGCTTCGTTCTCGGGGGCTAGCTCATGAAATCTTGCGCTTAAACATCCATCATGGAGCGCATGCATTCTAATATTTTTAGAGAACAAGATTGTGAATTTAGGTTTAGTCGTTGAAAAGTTATTGAATTTCGTTTGAATTACGCAAGAACTTTCTAGCCAACCTAATATGTCGTGAAATAGTGAGAAAGAAATGAGTCTGAAATGAGATTCTCGAAACTGTTCTGAAAACGTTCTTACACAGTAGGATAGGCCGTAAAATTTCCTGCAAGACTAACAATAAGACTGTGTCAAGTTCAAAGACCATTACATCAAGAAAAGACTATAAGGAAGAAAGTCATTGTACCTTCTTTGAGAGCTAAAAACATGAACAAGTATCTAGTTTACGTCATGAGACCTCCATTGCAGTACAAAGTGTCAGTTTCTTTGCATAGGTTGTATTACAAGATCAAATTTCCATAATAGCGTTATGTTGCTTCCGTAAGTGTTATGAAGAAAGTACAAATTTGCACACAAAAAAATACTGAGATCAAGTGAATACTTTTTTTTATCGTAGCGTGCTCTAATTTATAGCCAGAAAAAATTTGTATTTAATTTATGATTTTGGTTTGAGTTGAGCGTACGCACACTAAGCACTCGAAACGAACTCTGCAGCTGTGGCGTATCGATATAAATCCAACATTGTCACCAATCAATCTTCATTTTGTTTAACAACAAATTCTTGGATATTAGGCTGCAACTTAGAAGAAAAGATTGTAAAGTACGATTTAGTGAAACTATGAGTTCAGAATGACATAGCCATAAGTCTAAGTTTACTGAACAAAAGGTATTGATTCAACATATAAAAAAGAGCGAGAATTAATTCGTACTTGAGACGAAACACTCGCAAACCTATGAAACTTCTGTTGAAGAAAGTAATTGAGTTATACTTTTTTGCCGAGTTAAATACGTCGCGACAGCTTAAGCAAAAATATTCTCAAAATTCGAGAGATGTGGTCAGCAGTTTCGATGATATACTCGTTATTTTCTAAAAATCACTTTAAGACTTCGAATTGCCTTTTTAGTACCACCAATGCCCAAGCACATAAGCAACCAGAAAGTTAAAAAAAGAGGATATCTTAAAACAAGGAGTAAAAACAAAGATCGACTGTTTTACACAACGGCCTTTATGTTCACTGTAACTAATTTGATAAAGGGGAAAATTTAATGGATAGCCGTTGATTCCCTCTCCATATATGTCAAATATGAGACTTTTCCAAAATTTCTAGAGCTTCAAAAGGAAACAAAGTCTAGGAAAACTTACATGTTTTCATGTTGGTTCTGTCTTTGTTTTTTTGATAGGTGCACCATGAGTGTATTCAAAATAAAAATAATCAAAATGAAAAAATACTCCTAAAACGTCGCGATAAAATCTACCGTATTCCGCTTTTTTTCCAAAAAGTTAGGACCTCAAGCGTAGTAAAAAAAAGTCCTCCTAGGGGTGTAGACACCATTGTTATGCTTTCCAGGGGACAGCCCTGTTTCCGCTACCGCATTCTTCTCTTCGCTCCTTTCTATTCCGTTTGAACGCACCTCGTAGGCCAAGGCAGGGGCTGTGGGGCTCGGGGCGAGCATGTGCTGGCCGCGCTCGAAAAACAGCTTCCAAGATATATCTTCGACACGAGCGTCGTTGTCTTTCGTATCAGGTCGAACCACCCCCTCATTTTTCGCGCTTTCGACTCTAGGCGCTATCCAAAAACGAAAAAAAAGTTAGAGCTCGACTTATGCATGAATGGATATGAGAATTCTACTTCAACAACAGCAGCAGTGATGCAATGTGTGGAGAAATTGGCTTTTCGCAAGTGAGGGTGGTTGATGTGCATTTGCACACAAAAAAAAGAGATGAGAATCCCATAGCAAATTGCACATCTTCACAGCGATTCTGCATACATCAAGAAGGGGTGGAATAATGTAAGAAAAATTAATGGGACAGATTTCAAGCCATTGACGCCACGATACACATTGCCATAATATTATATAAGCCCGTGCAACCCACGCTTCTCTCTCAAATTAGCATATCTGCTCCCAAAAATTCACAGTCAGTCTCACATACTTATAAAAACACCCCACATATTTATAAAACCATCTCTATGTCGGTAAGATTTATACATTTTTTTCTTTATTGCACTTAATCGCGCTCCATTCATTTGACGGATGAAAAAAAGAAAAAGAGAAAAAAATAACACATTATATCTTGTCTTCACTTTCTGAGCTGATTATTATAAATATACATTTTCTCTCTCTTCCCTCCAGCATAACAAATATTCTCCCGGAACATCTGCCGGATAATAAAGCGGGGGAGGCGAATAAAGTGGTGTCGTAAAACAAAGCGTTAAGTTTATTGCATTACAAAAACATTGTGACGTCTTGTGCACGAGCACATGAAGCTCCGACGAATAATGTATAGGAGCTGAAGCTTTCGTTAAAAATTCTCTAACAGTTGTGAACTTCGTATTGTATCATTTGACCCTTTTTCAAAGGTAAGAATAAATGCAGACTGGGAAAATGGAAATTAATAGACTTTTCAGCAACAATAATGATGGGAATGCAGACAGCGCAAATTTCCATCAACTTGAGAACCGAGGAAAAATTTTGGGTCGTAGTCCGTCTAAGGTTGGGAGTGGAACGGATTGAAGCGAATTGGTATTTTGTAAATTTCCTATTTCCAGATGGTCCCAGTATCTTGGAAAATATTTTAATCTCGTTCCAAAGCTAATCAAGTCATAATCCTTGCAAGGAATAAGGAACAAAACAGATCAAATCACTAATTCGTATGTTTTTTATTTCTCTCATAAACTACCCTACAAACTAGCATTAGTGCAACCTATGCGACAGCGGTTCATTCATTGGAGATGCAGTCAGTCGGAAATACTGGAACTTTTGTTTAGGGCGCATAAAGTTCACAAGTTTTCAATTATGACGCGAAAACCGTGAAAATTCAAAATTAACAAATATTTTATAAGCCCTCCCTTAGAGATCAGGACATTATACGGGTGTATATAAATCATTGATAAGAGCCTATACGGCACAAAAGAATGATTGAAGTCACTATTTAGATATTCAAATGGGTGTTTTTAATCGATAAATCAATGATACCGTAATCCTCAGTGAAGCGCGGAATTGCAACAATCTGTTCGGGGGTGTCTTTCTTGCACAGTGGTCAGCAATTTTTTTTGGTACAGAGAGTAACAGCCATAGGAGCACACATAGGGGCACTTGCAAAGAAGCAAAGGAAGAGTGACTCACTTCGTTCAGAAGCAGCCGAGGCAGCTCGTCCGTTCGAGTAGACGGTGGCGAGCCCGGCCGAGCCCTGGTGGTGATGGTGGTGGTCCTTGCGGCCCTGTGACTGCGTTGTGGCTGCATTCCCCATCGTGGGCGGCTGGCTCCGTGGCTGACGCTTCGCTTCGGTTCGCTCGCTTCAGCGGCTTAGCAGCAAAATCAGAATACAGTCTGGACGACGTTGGCGAGGATGCGATCGGAGAGCGGCGGAGCGGCTCCACGCAGAGTCCAGCGGCGGCGATAAGCCAAGTTAGCGCGATCGTCGACGAACAGCTGACACGACGGTGGGTGAGACGCTGGCTGGCTGCTAGACTGGCGCCAACTTCAAACACATCTTTCTTCTCTAGCCTCAATGCCTGCTCGGTGTGTGGGTCGTACTGTAATGCCAAAACGTGCATTTAGGAAGAACGACACGGCAAACGACGATCGTTGTCTGCATGAGATCGTACGACGAACAAGCTAAGCGGTTAGCATAAACACGAGAAAATTGTTATAGGAGAGCAGTGGAGAGAGAGCACACCATTTACTGGATAAAACTTTACCAAGGTTAGAGAGCAGTTGGAGCGACAGAGTCCATGCCGGTGGGTTAAGAAGATTACGAAGTTGCTTTAGCTGCGAAGCGAGAAGCAAAAAGATCAAGCAAAAGATTTCTATCATGCGATGCGATTAGTTGCCTGGAAAGTTTGAAAGCGCTGACAAATTCACGAGAAACCGTTCACTGGGTATGAAAGTCTACAATCAACAAAATCACCAAAAAGTGGCATTTTCGTGAATTTTTTGTATTGTTAAACACTGGTGAGCAGTCAGAAGTGCTATATCAGATCAATTTTCAGGTTCATACATAAATTGCACCTTTGAAATGTATAATCTTATCATTCAATACCTATGGATTTGAAGCATAGAAAATTTTTGAAAGAAATTTGCGCTTTTCACGAGTGTCTGATTCTAAATTCCTTATTAGCCGCAGCGAAGCAGATTGAGAGGTGGAACTGAAAGTTTGAATTTTGGTTTGGTTTGAAAAATTTGAAAAGTGGTTTTGAATTTGCTGAAATACCTTTAGAATTTGAGTATACATTAGATTTTCACTAACTTCTACCTGAGAAACGCTCGTGCTGACCGTTTCAGAGAGTTTTTGAAAATTTTCAAAGTGATTTCCTCCTATATTTTGGTGCAAGACTTATCAACCCAATATTATGTTTTACTAAATTAGAAACTGCCGCTCAGAAACTGGATTTTGTTGAAATGTTGAACTATAAATCTGACCGGGCCTTTCTCTACATAAACAATTAAGCTAGGCACTATTATGACGTGATTTATTATTCTACTTTACTCAGAACTCCAAGTGCGCCATTGCCTTTCAAATGACTTTTTCTCTACAAAGGTTACTTTCACATACAATTAACTTTCGTTAACGAGGTCTCAGAAGATGGCCGAGTGAGTTGGTTTGAGGTGTGATCTTTAAAAATATATTAAGAGCTTTGAGGCTTGAATAGTTTAGGTGCAGGGCCACAGTTGCTTCCAAAACTTCTTTGGAACCCTTTTTCAAAGATAACGATATGATTTTCGAAATCTTGGAAAGACTGAGTTGCAAAAATAAACAAAAGCAATGTGACATGCTTACTACTGCAATTACAGTATCCCGATCCCGAGTGCTGATGAAATGAACCAGAGATGTGGTGAAGAAATATCATTTGAAAATATTGAAGGCAGCTGCGTTGTTAAGCCGTTAAATCTCTCCGCCTTTAATTTTTGTAACCTGAAAACAACGTCCGCTCGATTTTGGAGAGACAATTTCCTTGCTACAACTAACCTAAGCTATGACTTATGCTCAGGTGGCTGAGGATGAAGCAGTGAGGCAAGGCGTGGAACAATCATCCATCTTATGCTACTCTTCAATCAGCATTTCTTTTTCAGAAAATTTTTCGCAACAGTGACAAACGCTTTACATCCTCCTTAGCGGACCAAACACTAGCGTTTTTTACATTCTTTCAGCCACGAGATATATTTTAACTACGCGATTACCGGAAAATTGGAGAGAGGATCTTAAAAAAACTACGTAGTCAATAAACTTATTTCATGGAGTTGCGAGCTATGCCTCTACAAGGTTTTGAGCATTTTATATTTGAGGCAGGTGCGATCTAATATGTGCGACTGAACACAAGGCGCGGAATGTCATGGCGCCAGTCTTTTTACAAACGTATTTTTTTCAATAAAATAAATTTTAGAGTTTTCCTTTCGAATCCTATAGGTATGGGGAACAGGAAATATCAAAATAAATCAGGCTTAGCCTCAAAATGCAAAATAACTAGACTAGCATAGAGCTGAGTTATTGTTAGTAATGCATCCGGATTTGCCGTTCAAAAAATAAGAGAACAAAAGGTGACGGAACGATATGCGAAAGGTCAGCTAAGAAAATCTACACTGCAGTTCCAGCATTTCAAGAGATTAGAAAGCCAGCATGTACAGATTGTGTGTGCAAAGCTCTTTAGCAATCACCTCCAAGCTAAACTCCACCCGGGGTTAACAAGCGCGAATTGTGGCATTCTTGGACCATTAAACGCTGAGACCATATGTTCGCCTTTGCGAATTGAGATAAATGGACCAGTTAGAGCATTCTTCGAACTGATTTTCTTAATAACGCTATTAATACTACGAAAAAGTGTTTCATTTTTACCTACCATATTTGATACGCTCATCTAATAAGGAAAGAATGTTTGGTAACCTATGGTCATTCAGAATGAGACGGTATAATAAGAAGCATCTCTAAATGCTCATTATATGCAAAATGTTTTTTTAAACAACTTTTTTTTCGAGAAAATTTGCATACTTTTCGAAAGCAAGTCATCTATAGTGGACAAATTTCCTGCCTAACATTATAAATGCAAGTACACCCCTAAAAGAAAATATCGTAGCCGGATTGAAAAATCGTTCTGCAGATTAGAAAAATAAATTCGACATTATCATTTTAAGATATTCTATGGACATACATCTCACTCTCTCAGTATGGCTACATCACTGAGTTCTCACCCTTGCAAGTAAAAAAAAATTTGCAGTAATTTATCTCTCTCATTTGCTCTAACATACTTTTTATTTGGCTCTTGATGATTTGTTGCTTGATAGCGGCTCATATATTTCTCAGTGTAAGCATAGAAGTTCTCTCTCGAAATTTGGGTTCATAAAGCTTCAATATAAGTCCTGCTGTGAACGTCTTCTGCTTGCTGTTAAGAGATGGCTTGCAAGGATGACAAACCCATAAAAGGAGAGTGGATATGCTTTAGGCGTGAGAAATTAGACATAAGGTACAAATGTACTGTAGATATGGATAGAGAGTTGAGACGGATGTTATCCAGTGATACACCGAATGCCAGGAAGTGGATTTGGCAGCAAATGCCAAGCAACATTTGCACAAAATGACACCTGTAACCGTCCTCCAGCGTTCTCGCAAGTAAAAAATGGCACCGAAAGCGAGAAGGCGGTGTGTTGCAGTAAAGGTAAACAATGACACCCCTACCGCGTACCAATTGATCAGGGTATAATGAGGAGATTTTTCTCGAGATACCGTCCCTGAGTTGGCCAAAATACAATGAATCATGCGAGTAGATGCCCTATGAAGTAGATAAATTGAGCAGGCGCGAAGACTAAATATGGAAAAACGTCATAGATTGCTACGGGCTTTCCTTTCCCCTTGGTTCCCTCCTCCGCTAAGGGTGTACCCATCAAAGTGCTTTAAGTGCTTGCTTAAGCTACTTATATACATTAGCAGCGAATTAGTGGCGCCAACTCCCCCTTCCTAGAAAAAAAAATTCCAGCCATCTAAAAATATCACAGAAATTCTTTGCCTAGCAACAGACAAAGTACACTTGCGCAGCAGCAAACTTATACTTTGGTTGTGTTTATTCTTTGCGTTGTCAAACGCGATTAATGAAAAAAATGTAGGAAGCACAGGAGACAGCTTGGTCTTTCACGTCATCAACGGCGAAAAAAAAGGCTCTGAACGAAACTGCACAAACACAGCTACGAATCAAAGGAAGAATGTGATTAGTTTGGTAGATTTGCAAAAACTTCGTATGACAAATTCTGATACTTCGCAATCATAAATTTGTTCCAGAATTGCTACCACTGCACAAAATTGAGTTGTAAACTGCAAAGTAAAAAAAAATCAATGAAAATATTTGGATTTATCCCAAGATAATCTTCAGCTGTTGTAGCATGTGCCAAGATTGGTAGATAGATTTATTTGGCTTACTATGTTATCCCAAGATAGTATGCCCTGGTAAAAGATAGTAAAATGGTCACCAGTCATAGAAGTGCTCATTTCAATTAGCATCAAATAATTTTAAAAAAATTTTCTTCCGAAAACAAGCTTTTCCTAGCTTTTGCAGGAATAATCACGCAGGAAAAGCAGCTAGGGTGATTGCGAACCTCATCTGTTATTTGTAGCTAAGCAAAAAACGAAGCAGCAAAAATATATTTGCAATAGGATGTGAGAAGGACTTACACTTATGTCCAACAATGCAGCTGCTATGTGCAGACGAGTGCTACTTCCACCAAAGGTGAAAGAAAAGATCGAGCAGATCATAAGTAATTTGTAAAAGCGCAAAAGACATTTTTTACATCAAGCAGCCATTGTAATTATGCAGAATAATGCATGTTCTTTTACCTATGGCACTTTACATGACATTTGTCTCCTGTGACATTTCTGCTCCTGATAGGCTTAGGCACTTATAGCCTTGAACTTTTGCCGGAAGTTCTTATAAGCACTCTGTTATCTCTTCAGGAATTTTGAAAAAAGAGAGAATGTTAGTATAAAGATTTTTTTACTTACCACAACTGCGAACAAAACTCAAAATTAAACCCTCAGAAAGAATTGGCAGCCTTATAAGAAGTAATCCATACAAAGTTCGACATATTCACTGCAACCATTAAAACGAAAGAAGGAAATTCGATCTTATGCAGATTGCCAAAGACATTTTTGTCTCAAAATTTTGTCGTGAGATCGATTTTTCAAAGTTACTAGTGGAAGCAGAGCACTCCAGCATCAGCTTTTGCAAAATTGCTTTTGTTTTCTGACAAACAGAAAATCAAAATGCTCTAAGGGCCGGATAGAACCGCTGAAATTATGCTAAAAAGTTGGCAATTTCATACTATGCGAAAGAAAACTTTATTCGAATATTTAGGAGTAAAATGTGGAGGAGGAGAAGAGAGGGCCTTTTCAAAACCTAGGGCTGCATGCATTAACATCCCCGCTGGGGAGAGGAATCGCAGCTTAGAAGAAAGCTTCAAAACCCAAAACTTCAGATATCTAGATTTTACACTTCTATCCATCCGCAAATATTCCTACTATCCTTTACTATAAACATATTGGACAGGAGCGAGAGGGTGTAAAGCGGCATTCTCC